GGGCCGGGAGCAGCCACTGCACTCCAGTCTGGGCAACAGAGTAAGACTCTAACTCAAAAAAAAAAAAAAGAAAAAAAGAAACTTATTCATGCCTGTGATCCCAGCATTTTCGAAAGTCCAAGGCAGGAGCGTTGCTTGAGCCCAGGAGCTTAAGACCAGCCTGGACAACATGGCAAGTCCTCATCTCTACAGAAAAACAAAAAATTAACCAACTGTGGTGGTGCGTGCCTAGAGTCGCAGCAACACCTGAGTCTAGGAGGTTGAGGCTGCAGTAAACCATGATTGTGCCACTGTACTCCAGCCTGGATGACAGATTTAAGACCCCCAACTCAAAAATAATAATAATAAAATTAAAAATATACTGTTATTCAAAGTTTGCTACGATTCAAGCCTACCTTATCCTCTTTTCTCTTCTTCTGAGCCTCTGTCTTGCCTCTCCACTTGGCCCTTGCTGCTAGCCCGGTGCTCTTCCCTGTGCGGACCTCACAGCCTTCAGTGTCCTGTCTCCCCACGCCCCGGGAACCTTTGCTGACTGTTCCATCTGGCAGCGCTTACCCCTCTGAGGTACCTGCCACCTCTTCACTTGATGTCCCTTCCTCAGGACCCTGTCTCGTAGGCATCCTCCTCTTCCCTGAATGCCCAGCAGTGGGCTGCACATTGCTGATGATCTCCAGACATCTGCCAGAGAAGTCAGAGCTCAGGGAGGTGAGAGTCCTGTTCTGGCTGGAGGATGCTAGGAGCCAGACACTTCCTGCTGTGTTCCCTTCCAGGCCTGCCTGACCAGCACAAGGGGAGGAGGTTTGGGCCTGCTCAGTGTGGGTTGCTCTCCTATGTGGGTGGAAAGTGGTACTTCTCCATAGCCTCCTCTGGGGTTTATGTAGACACTCTCCTGCTTCCCAGGTGAGGAGAACCATCTGTTGTCATCCCTTCTCCATGCCCCTTGGCTCTGTGGTCTCCGAGGGGTGTTGACAGGGAGTGCCCCCACGGCTCTGCCTTCTCATCTTCCTGGCCCCACCTGGCAGCCCGTCTTCCCTGAGTCAGTGCTCCCCTGGCTGGAGGATGCCAGGAGCCGGGCACATCATGTGTGGTGAGGTAATGGCAGGACTGACCGGCTCTTTCAGGACAGGCGTTTGGCCTCATCTGCACCAGGGGGTGTGGGTAGTGGATGCGGATCTCTGTTTGGTAACAGACTGGGTAGTGGATGTGGTCCACAGTTTGGTAACAGACTGGCGTGTCAAGTTTTATTTTTTTATTCTGGAATCATCAGGCTTTGGGGAATTGATTTCTCTTTTCACTAAACTCATAGTAATCAGACTCAACTGGCAGCTTATACAGAGGCTGAATCTTGGCCACTGAGCGGAATACTTGGGCCTGCCAGCCAGGGGTGCTTGGGAAAACCAAGTATTCACCAGAGGTAGCTCAGTGAGCAGGGGTTATTGGGGGGATATTTCCTCCAGGCTGTGGTAGAGACTGCAGAGTTAGATGGCTCTCAGATATGTGCTACTTTTCTGGCGATCAGAATACACATGTTCCACATGTATGGATATCTTCCCTTTAGAGGCTGGAGACGTTGTCCTTTTGACACATTCTTAGTTTCTGATAAGGGCTATGTTTGATGCTTTTTAAATGAACTTGACATGGTTACCGCGTGTACAGTTCACTTTACATTAGCTCCATTTCTGTGTAGCACTTTCTCATAACCCGCACTGCAGTCATAACCTGACCAAATCAGAGGGTTGGAGAGCGTGTCTCTGAGTGTTTCTGCAGGTGGCTACTCACATGCTGTGTGGGGTTTCTTGGTCGCCACTGGGGGCACGTGCTTCCTGGCTGTGTCCTCATATTCTGTGGTTCACCCTGTTCCTAAATCTGGAGGCCTCTGTGTTTCTTTTCATCATAGTTCCATGTAATTTATATAGTTGCTGTGGTGTCCCTCATGAATTACAGCTTTCCTTTTTTTTTCTTTTCTAGTTACTCCCGGAACCGTACCTTTGACACATACATTGGGCAGGGCTATGTGATTCCTGGGATGGACGAAGGTTTACTTGGTGTTTGCATTGGAGAGAAGCGAAGGATTGTAGTCCCTCCTCATCTGGGGTATGGAGAGGAAGGAAGAGGTGAGTCTCACTTGCCTTCCTCACTAACTGTGACTGTTTTCACAATTCTTGGAAGCTGCTGCTGCTGCTTCTTCTTCCTCTTCCTCCTCCTCCTCCTCCTTTTTCTCTCCTTCCTCCTCCTCTTCCTCGTCCTCCTCCTTTTTTCAGGTTTTTTTTTTTGAGTTGGAGTCTCACTCTGTCACCCAGACTGGAGTGCAGTGGCACCCTCTTGGCCACGGCAGCCTTGATCTGCTGGGCTCCAGCAATACTTCCGCCTTCAGTTTTGTTTTTATTTTTTTTAGAGGCAGGATCTTGCTATGTTGTCCAGGCTGGCATGCAGTGGCTATTGGCAGGTGTGATCATAGAGCACTAAAGCCATGAACTCCTGTGCATAAGGGATTATCCTGCCTCAGCCTCTTGAGTGGTTGGGACTACAGGCATGGACCATGTGCTTTGAAGAGGGAGGGCTTCTTGAGAGCCAAAATGTTGAAACTGAAGTCTAGCCTAAGACTAGAATACCAAAGTATTTTCTGGTGTTGTTCTCTTTTTTCTTTTTGTTCCCCCTGCCCATTTTTGTTTTCCTTTTGAAAAGTTTTAAACCCACACTGAAGTTGAAAGAACTATATGGTGGATTCCACTGTTTTCATAATTGTCAATATCTTGCTATACTTGATCTTTTTATATTTTATTTTTGATTGTATCATCTGAAAGTAAGTGCAGAAGCCCTGGCTTGCTTTTTTTTTTTTTTTTTTTGAGTTGGAGTCTCACTCTGTCCGCCCAGTCTGAAGTGCAGTGGCATGCTCACCGCCACCCCAGCGTTGACCTGCTGGGCTCAGGTGATCCTTCTGCCTTAACCTTCCAAGTAGCCGGAACTATAGGCGCATGCTACCACACCTGGCTAATTTTTTGATTTATTGTAGAGATGAGGTCTTGCCAAGTTGGTCAGGCTGTTCTTGAACCCGTGGGCTCAGGCAGTAGTCCCCTTACCTCGGCCTCCCAAAGTGCTGGGATTACAGGCTTGAGCCACTGCGTCTGGCCTGTTATTTTTTATTTTATTTTATTTTATTTTTGAGTCAGGGTCTCACTCTGTTGCCCAGGCTGGAGTGCAGTGGCACAGTCACAGCTAACTGCAGCCTTGACCTCCTGGGCTCAGGCAATCCTTCTGTCTCAGCCTTCTGAGTAGCAGGGACTACAGGTGTGCACTACCATGTCCAGCTAATTTTTTTGATTTTTTTGTAGAGAAGAGGTCTTGCTGTGTTCTTCCCGGGCAGCAGAGTGAGACTCAGACTCAAAAATAAATAAATAAATACCTTTACATAAAGGGAGCTGAGCACGGTAATCCCAGTTTCTTGAGAGGCTGAGGTGGGAGGATCCCTTGAGGCACGGAGTTCGAGACCAGCCTGGACAATATAACAAAGCCCCCTCTCTATTAAAATCAATCAAAAAATAAAAGTTACACAAAAAAAGAAAATGCAGATAAATAAAATAAAAACCTCCCATAATCTCATTGCCCTGAAATAAACATTGTTAATGTGGATGGAAGAATATTGACCCCCAAAGATGTCCACATCCTAATCCCCGGAACGGTATACATGTTATTAAAAAGGTATTTATGGATGTGATTAAGTTAGGGATATTGAGATAGGGATGGCATCCTGGGTTATCCAAGTGGCTTTGAAATGCTTATAAGGGTCCTTGTAAGAGGGAGGCGGGAGGCCAGACGGGAGAAAGTGCTAAGCTGCTGACTTAGAAGCTGGAGGAAGGAGCTCCCTCAAGGAATGAGGGTGTCCTCTAGAAACTGGAAAAGGCCAGGAAACACATTCTCCCCAGGAGCCTCCGAAAAGAACACATCCCTAATAATACCCTGAGTTTCTACTTCTGACCTCCAGAATTAGGAGAATCAATTTATGTTGTTTTAAGCCAACAAGTTTGTGATAATTTGTTATAGCAGCAGTAGGAAACTAATACAACCATAAAGTGGATATCCCTGTACACTTTTGAGTATATGTATGGGTAAGAAGAAGATATGTCCACCTACACTGATCAATCCTATTAAAAATAGAATCATCTATACATATTAATTTGATATATCTCTCTTCAACCAATTTGTTGTGAACAACAGATATATTGTGAACAACTTTCTATGCCAATAGATTTTTTTAAATTTTAAAAATAGGTATGATGACCACTTATATACCTAACCCTGAATTGTACCCCACATCTTTAAAATTTAAAAAAAAAATTCTAAAAAAAGGAAATGGGGTCTAACTGTTTCTCAGGCTGGTCTTGAATTCCTGACCTCAAGTGATCCTCCTACCTCAACCTTCTTTTTTTTTTTTTTTTTTCGAGTTGAGGTCTCACTCTGTCGCCCAGACTGGAGTGCAGTGGCTGCTTCCGGCCACCGCAGCCTTGACCTGCTGGGCTCGGGTGATCCTTCCTCCTCAGCCTTCCAAGTAGGTGGAATGACAGGCACGTGCTACCATGCCCGGCTAGTTTTTTGATTTATTGTAGAGATGAAGTCTCGCCAAGTTGCCCGGGCGGATCTCGAACCCGCGGGCTCAGGCAATCCACTCACCTCAGCCTCCTAAAGGCACAGGATTAAGGCTGAGCCACTGAGTCCGGCTCCGCCTTCTAAAGTACTGGGATTACCAGTGTGAGCTACTGCACCCCAACAGATATTTTTAATGACTCCATAATATTCCAAACCATATTTCCTTTCTTAATGATGTTCTCTCAGAATGCTATTTCTTGCTAACTTGCTTAGGAATAGTTGTAATATTTATTTTGCTTTTGTGTTCTTTTGCTGATGGATTTCTGTTCTTGCTGTCCATACATATTCATTTTGTTAACACATTCATTTCTGCTTATACAGCCTATGGATCTGGAGACTTTTCCAGTAGGGTTTGTCCCAGAGGATCTAAAATGCCAAGTTCTTGGAAACTAGATTATACCATGGAGAAACAATTTTTTTTTCTCCCTGACTTAAATTTCTGATTGATTAAGCCATAACAGATTGCAGCTTAGGATCTATTCGACAGGGATTTTTTTTCATGTTCTGTTTGTCTAGCTTATCATGTAATTTCCACTTCTAGACAAATACATACAGAAACAGGTAAATACTTTCTGAGTATTCTTGTTTTGTTATGACCTGAGGACTAATCCTTCCTTTCTTTAAAAAGAATGCATTGATGGAAAACATTTGCTTGAATTATTTTTTTCCCTTTTGGCTATCTATCAAGTATGAGACAGAGCTCTGCAAAGAATTATATAAGGCTCTGGGAAGCATCCGAAGACTCATAAATTTCCTGAGCATGGGAATGCTGCATCTTGAATCACATGTTCCTGTGGTGGGGGAGTGACCTGAGAAGGGTGTCAGGGTGCAGAAACTCTCTAGCTTGTGATTTCCTCACCACGTACTACAGGACCAGGCACATAGTAAGCATTCAGCAAATACCTGTGGGAGGAGTGAATTGCTGGGCTCTCCATGGTGCTCTCAGCCACCCATCAGCATTTCATTTTGTTGCAGCTGTTTTCCCCTGCGGGTTAGTAGAGGGGAAGGGATAGCCGTCTGAAAACAGTTCTGGACCTTTCTGTTACCTGCTTTGTTCCGTGGTCAGCTTTGAATTTAGGGTGCTTGGATGTGTGTGCAGCCCTGAAGAGGGGAATGGATTCTGCCCGCGTGGTTGTATAAGCATCACTTCCTCGATGGTTTGCTGTTTGTTACCCAACTTCCAAACTCTTAAGAACTCTTATAGGAAAGAGAGGAAAGTGAAGAGAATAACTTATGTTTTGCCCCGCTCTGTGTCTGTACACAAACTCATTCAAATCTAGAAACAATCCTCTGGGTTTTTTTTTTTTAAGTGAGAAAGGATTTATTGAGAGGACAGAAAAGCTCTCACAGTGGGAGGGGAGGTATTTTTTTTTTTTTGAGTTGGAGTCTCACTCTGTCGCCCAGCCTGGAGTGCAGTGGCCGCTCCCGGCCACCGCAGCCTCGACCTGCTGGGCTCAAGTGATCCTTCCGCCTCAGCTTTCCAAGTAGCTGGAACTACAGGCACGTGCCACCATGCCCGGCTAATTTTTTGATTTATTGTAGAGATGAAGTCTCACCAAGTTGCCCAGGCTGGTCTCGAACTCGGGGCTCAGGCAATCCTCTCACGTTGGCCTCCCAAAGTGCTGCAGATTATAGGAGTGAGAAACCGCTCCTAGCCGAGTTGTTTTTCTTATATATAAAATGCTAATGACAATACTATATATCCTTGACTCTAAGTAATATCATTTAAACTTTTTTTACATTTAAGGTTTTCTGAAATAGCTTTCTTTTTTTTTTTTTTTTTTTGAGTTGGAGTCTCTGTCGCCCAGACTGGAGTGCAGTGGCCGCTCCCGGCCACCGCAGCCTCGACTTGCTGGGCTCTGGCAATCCTTCCACCTCAGCCTTCCAAGTAGCCGGAATTACAGGCATGCGCTACCACGCCCGGCTGATTTTTTGACTTATTGTAGAGATGAGGTCTCGCTGCCCAGGCGGGTCTCGAACCCGCGGGCTCAGGCAATCCACTCACCTCAGCCTCCCAAAGTCGCGGGATTACAGGCTGAGCCACCGAACCCGGCTTGAAATAGCTTTCAAGGGGGTGTGTTTCACAACTGATGTGTATCTTTGAGGTGTCTTCCCTCCCACCTGAGAAGCTGTCGTTAAATTCCTGGTTTAATGGTAATGCCTACTCCATACAGTTACTGTAAGACATTGTTCCGATGTGAGATACTGTTTTTACAAATGGAGACCGTGGAAAGGAAGAGGTTATGAATAATTGTGTGTGGAAGGTATAGGACGTGTTCTAAAGCACTCTGTGACCGTCAAGTGTACTGTCTGAAGCCATCGATTTTGGCAAGGCGTTTTCCTCCTCTACCGAGTTTATGTTAGTTTTGTTTCTCTTGAGCCTTGGTGGGCCACTGGAGTGATCTCATCCTACCCCTGATTTTCTCGTCCCCCCTCTTCTGGTGGGTAAGGAGCAAACCTTGACTGGGCTTGAATGTCCTCACCTGTGATCACCTTTGCTACTCATCTTTCAGGCTCGACGTGTCCATGGAACAATAGCCCATAGTCTTGAATTTTAGTACACACTGGGTGCCCGTGTTCCTCACTTGGAGAGCTGTGAGGACATACCCAGTGACACTGGGGAGGCACATGTGCTGTGGTTTGGAGGGCTCATTCATTAATTCCCCATGTCTGTCTTTTAGGGAATATCCCCGGCTCAGCCGTACTGGTATTTGACATCCACGTGATCGACTTCCACAACCCCTCAGACTCCATCAGCATCACCTCCCACTACAAGCCCCCCGACTGCTCAGTGCTGAGTAAGAAGGGAGATTATCTCAAGTATCACTACAACGCCTCGCTTCTGGATGGGACCCTCCTGGACTCCACGTAAGGGCAGCCAAAATGGTGTGGAGTGAGCCTGGATAGTAGCAGTCGTGTGTCCCTGCCATTTTCCTTCTCTTTTCATTAGACATTGGCCGAGAGCTTTTATCTCCATGGCCCCCACTACGTAGCTCAAGCCTGTATCACTACTCAGGTGCTCTGTTCTAAGTTTTCCATCAGTGGTCTTGCCCTGCTCCAGATTATTCTTTACTGTGTGAAGTTATCTTTCTGAAAAACAAACCCCATCATAGAATTGCTGTCTTTTTTTTTTTTTTTTTTAAGAAAGCAGGATTTATTGAGAGGACAGAAAAGCTCCCACAGTGGGAAGGGACCCGAAGGGGTTGCCCAACTGCTGTCTTTTAGTACTGACCCATGGATAAAGACCAGACTTTGGAGTCCAGCACATAAGTTCTGTCAGCTCCGTTCTGCCTCACCAGTCTCTTCTGCTGGGGCCCACCTTCCACCTCCCAGGATTCCATGTGCAGTGGTGGAGGTTGGATACTACTTGCTCCTTTTTTTCCTGGTCGTCTTCTGCCCTGGCTTCGGTGTCCTCCCTTTTCTCAAAATCTTTCCTTAACTCCTAGGAAGAATCACCTGATTCTGCTTCTATAAGTCTCAGAGCACTTTACATATTTCCTCTCTTTCAGTTATTTTTGTTTTTATCTCTGTTGCTGGTCTGAATACCTTATTGAACAGTATTTTTATTCCTTGCACCTTGCTCACAGCATGGCGCGAAAGGGGCATTTTGTAAGTGTTAACTGATCAAGATACATCTGAGAACATATTGAATAGGAATCATCAGCAGAAATGGAACCTGACATGTAAAAGCTTTGCTGCTGGTGTTTCTGAATCTTCAGATGTCTCTGTTAATGCAGTCCATAAGTTAATTCTTTCTCTTCTTTGGGAAAGAAGTATTTTCAGCATTTCATTTATTCTTTAATTTTTATTTTTATAGAGATGGGGTCTCACTATGTTGCCCAGGCTGGCCTTGAACTCTGGGTCTCAGCATTTGCTTATACATCCATTTGTTCTGAGCCTGACTTAGATTCCCAAGTTTGGTCTTGGGGGAAAAAAATGCTTCATATAAGCAAGTATGTGCAGCCGGGCTCAGTGGTTCAGCCTGTAATCACAGCGCTTTGGGAGGCTGAGGTGAGTGAATTGCCTGAGCCTGTGGGTTCGAGACCCGCCTGGGCAACTTGGCAAGACCTCATCTCTACGATAAATTAAAAAATTAGCCGGGCGTGGTAGCGCGCACCTGTAATTCCAGCTACTTGGAAGTCTGAGCGGAAGGATCGCCAGAGCCCAGCAGGTTGAGGCTGCAGTGGCCGCTCCCGGCCACTGCACTCCAGTCTGGGCAACAGAGTGAGACTCCAACTCAAAAAAAAAAAAAGCAGGTATGTGCTACTGCATTTATTCTGGCTGTGGAGGACTCTCCCCCTTCCCCTGTCTCTCTGCCTTCTAACTTCGGGCGACAGTGTGTGTGGCTAGGCAGAGCCAGGTGTGTAGAGAGAGAGCCTAGGGACTAGAGATGCACTCTTCAGACTGTTCCCTCTGGGTTTATGAGCCTCTGTATGCTAATGCATTTAACATATGTCATCAAATCCGAAAGGCGTTCATTTTGAAAGCATTATTTCATGTAGCTCTAAGAAAGTAAAAATTCTGACCAAAAAATGATATACTGGCAATCACAAAATGTATCCTAATTACAGAGAGATTAACATGTGAAAAAATATACATTTTATAATCAATAAATATGTCCATAGTTTCTGGGGCCAATTTTACAAGCCTGGCTTACCAAAAAACCTCCTTGCAAAGATACCCCAACCACCAGTTATTGGAAGCACGTGGGAATCAGGGCAGTGGGAAGGAGCAGGACTTTTAGTTGTTTGCAGACCAGGTGAGCTCATGCGCGTGAAAAGGGTCCACAAGTTTAGAAAAGTCTGGAAGTGCCACGGCTGCTAATGATCATATTCCTGTCTGTGCCCCTTGGGCCAAGGAAGGAGGCAGTGGGGAGTGGAAACTGAACAAAGGAATTCCTTTGCGGTGGGTCAGGATGTGCTTCTCACTGGGAGGGAGAATTGGGCTTCCTCCCTGCTGTGTGTGTGTAGTGGATTCCTGCCTCATCTCAGAAACTCCATTTTGTGTCCTGAGATCCTTTGTATTACTGTAAATCTGCACAGAGGAACAGCAGCCAGTGGTCCTGCCGGGATCCTTTTGGTGAAGGCTCTGGAATAGTGGAATCATGGGAGGGAGTGTAGCAGCCATCTACCTCCCTGGGCCCAGCTCAAGCCCTGCATGGACACGGTAACCAACAAAGCCAATACTTTCTGTGGGCTCTGAATCATCAGGATAAGAGCAGGGACTGCTGGTGGGAGCAGAGAGAGAGAAGGTGGGCAGAGAACCAGAGAGGGTGGAGGGCAGACAGGAGGATGGAGGCCATGGAGCACAGAGGAGGATGAGGAGGGTGTTTGAGAGGAAGACTGGCTAAAAAAGAAATAAATTGAAATAAAAGGACCCAGCCGGGCTCGGTGGCTCAGCCTGTAATCCCACACTTTGGGAGGCTGAGGTGAGTGGATTGCCTGAACCCGTGGGTTCGTAACCCGTCTGGGCAACTTGGCAAGACCTCATCTCTACAATAAATCAAAAAAATTAGCCGGGTGTGGTAGTGCATGCCTGTAGTTCCAGCTACTCGGAAGGCTGAGGCGGAAGGATCGCCGGAGCCCAGCAGGTCGAAGCTGCCGTGGCCGGGAGCGGCCACTGCACTCCAGTCTGGGCGACAAAGTGAGACTCCAACTCAAAAAAATAAAATAAAATAAAATAAAATAAAAGGACCCGAGGAAAGAGAATTAGTGATGTTTTCAGAGATGACACAAGAAAACAAATTGCTTCAAGGATTTTTTTCGTGTGTGTGTGTGTGTGTGTGTGTGTGTGTGTGTGTGTGTGTGTGTGTGTGTTGTTTTCACTGGCTTCAGGGAGAAAGAACAAAACATTTATTACTCGATGACTGAGTTCTGGAATATTCTGTAAGACTTTGAAATCGGGAGTAGTCCCAGGGGAGGTCCTGATGGTTGGTGCCCGGAGGAAGGCAGCGTGAGCTCCTCCATGCTGCCAAGGCAGGGCAGAGGGTGGTTCCTCCCTCAGGCCTGGACCAAAGTTTCCTGTGCCAGGGTTGGCTTTGTTTCAGTTTCCTCCCAGGTAGGAACCACTGAGAACCACTGGAGGAGGAAAAGCAGTGGCAGCCTAGGGCATAGGGAGGAATCCTGAGAAGGGGATATGATACCATCTTGTCCCTGTCGTCACCACCTGATGATGGGCATCAAGAGGGTATCAGGGACTTTTCTCCCTTGGTATTGAACATACACACTGTTTGCCTGTAGGAGGTGACAGGAAAGCCATAGGTTTTAAAATAGATTTATTTTCAGTAGTGTCTAAACTTATAGAGTAACTTTTTCTAAACTGGGTTCCCCAGGGTCCAGGAAACCATGGATAATTAACCTCTCAGTTATGGCCGGGTGTGGTAGCGCATACCTGTAATCCCAGCACTTTGGGAGGCTGAGGTGGGAGGATCATTTAAGCCCAGGAATTTGAGACTGCAATGAGCTATGATCATGTCACTATACTCCAGCCTAGGCGACAGAGCATGATCCTATCTCTAAATTAATAAATTTTAAATAACCTTTCGGTTATCTTTTTGGCGCCTTAGACTTACATACACAAGCATGTTAACACATTACACCCTCAAGGTCGTTGATTTATCAAGTCCTTTCTACTGGCTCTCTGCTGTGCCAAGCATATTTTATTATTTGCTGTTCAATTCCTTGTGAGGTAGCTATTTTATCTCCATTTCATAGTAAAAGTAACTAGAAGTTACATTTCCCCGGGGTCAAATTAAGTGACGGAACCAGGATTCAAATTCAGGTCTTGCCAAATCCAAAGCCCAGGGATTTAACTACACTGTATATAATAAAAATTCTCATGAAGATGACTGACTAGAACGTTGACTAAAACTCAGAGAAAAGTTGCAAGAGCTGTACCAGGAACTCCCCACACCCTTATGCCATCATGGTTGCCGCCATGATGTTCCATGGCCTGAGTGAGACTTGTTCATCACCCTGAATACTGGAATACTGGAGTGTGCATTTCTTTTTCTGTTTTCGAGTTGGTTCTCACTCTGTCATTCAGGCTGGTGTGCAGTGGCACAATTACAGCTCACTGCAGCCTCAACCTCCTGAGCTCAGGTGATCTTCCTGCTTCAGCCTCCCAAGTAGCTGGGACTCCAGGTGTGTGCTGCCATGCCCAGATAATTTTCTGATTTTTTATAGAGACTAGTTCTACTATATTGTCCAGGTTGGATGAGTATGCATTTTCTTCTTTCTTTTTTTTTTTTTTCTTTTTGAGTTAGAGTCTTACTCCTTTGCCCAAACTGGAGTGCAGTGGCATATTCACGGCCACCCCAGTGTTGATCTTCTGGGCTCCAGCAATCCTTCCACCTCATCCTTCCAAGTAACCAGAACTACAGGCATGCACTACCACGCCCGGCTAATTTTTTGATTAACTGTAGAGATGAGATCTTGCTATGTTGCCTGGGCTGGTCTCGAACCCGTGGGCTCAGGCAATCCTCTCGCCTCGGCCTCTCAAAGTGCTGGAATTACAGGCTTCAGCCACTGTGCCCAGCCAAACATGTATTTTCCACAAACATGTACATTTTCCGACATATATATTCATTAAAATCATAAAGTGAACTTGATACATCACTGCCCTTTAATCCTCAGACCCCACTTCAGTTTTACCAAATATCCCCCTAAGGTTCTTTATAGCAAAAGAATATATACTTATCTCTGAAATGGTTCCTCAGTCTTCCCTTAATTTTCATGACATTAACTCTTCTTGAAGATGACAGGCCGGTTATTTTGCCTCACTTTGTGTTTGTCTGACATTTCCTCATGATTAGGTGGGGGTGTTCTATGTCTTTGTCAGAAATATCTGAGAAATGAAGTGTTCTTCACATGAGAGCACTCTCAAGTTCCAGCGGGTTGGTGAACTAACCCAGGGCTCTTCTGTTTCATTTTCAGGTGGAATTTAGGCAAAACTTACAACATTGTTTTGGGGTCTGGACAAGTCGTGCTGGGAATGGACATGGGTCTCAGAGAGATGTGTGTTGGTGAGAAACGGACAGTGATCATTCCACCCCACCTGGGATACGGGGAGGCTGGCGTGGGTGAGTAGGCGACCTTCCTCAAGGGTTTTCAGGGCATGTTCACGATCTGAAGTTTGTTCTTTGTGGGAGGCCATAGTTAGAACCACCAGGTGCCTTGTCTGTTTAAAACCCAAAGAGTCTATGGTTTCTATTTTTTGGAGTATTTAAAGACCTCTGCGAATTCAGTGAGTCACATCAATGCCCCCCTGCCCTCTTAAGAAAGATCAAGTTTCAGTGAAATAAGCTTTGGTTGCTCAGACCCACGTATGGGAGGTGGCCCTGGGGGAGCTGTCTGGGAGATTTCTCAGAGGTCAGGTGGGCGCTTTCTTCAGAACTGTTTCCTGGGACAGGTGAATGCTATCGGCTGCTGCTTTTCTTTCTCTTTTTTTTTTTTTTTAGTTGGAGTCTCACTCTGTGGCCCAGACTGGAGTGCAGTGGCTGCTCCCGGCCACCACAGCCTCGACCTGCTGGGCTCCGGCGATCCTTCCAAGTAGCCGGAATTACAGGCATGCGCTACCACACCAGGCTGATTTTTTGATTTATTGTAGAGATGAGGTCTTGCTGCCCAGGCGGGTCTCGAACCCGCGGGCTCAGGCAATCCACTCACCTCAGCCTCCCAAAGGCACGGGATTACAGGCTGAGCCACCGAGCCTGGCTGGCTGCTGCTTTTCATTTCCCCTGAGCCTGTGAGCCATCTAGACAATTCCTTTTGGGAGAGATTAGTTTCAAGTTCTGGAAATACTGTCTTGCCTCATCCTCACAGTGGTTATGTTTTACTCCATGATTTCAATCAGAATGTGTCCCCCACCTGGGGGATTCGGGAACCCCTTCTTTTCAGTGTCTTTATGCTGATGATAGCTGAAGATATAGGAGATAGAAAGGGTTAATTTGTAAAAATGATAGGCACTTTGGATTGATTTCCTTTTTCACAACTTTCTTTTTTTTTCCAGTCGAGGTCTCATTTTGTTGCCCAGGCTGGAGTGCAGTGGCATGATCACGGCTCACTGCAACCTTTCCTCCTGGGCTCAAATGGTCCTTCCGCCTAAGCCTCCCAAGTAGCTGGGGCAGGTGTGTACCACCATGCCTGGCATGTTTAATTTTTTATTTTTGGGGGGAGTAGAGATGAGATCTTGCTATGTTGCCTAGGCTGATCTCAAACTCCTGGGCTCAAGGTGTCCTGCCTTGGCCTTCCAAAGTGCTGGGATTCCAGGCGTAAATCACTACACTTGGCCACAACTTTTAAATAATTATAAAAGTGCATCTGTTCCTCCCATCAACCCCAGAAGAAACCTTTTGAAAAATGTTGTATATTCTGTTGCCCAAACTGGAGTGCAGTAGCATGATCATGGCTCATTGCAGCCTCCCATCTCCTTGGCTCAGGTGATCCTTCCTGCCCGAGTAGCTGAGACTATAGGTGCATGCGATTGTGCCCGGCTAATTTTTGAGTTTTTGGAGAGACAGGGTCTCACTGTGTTGCCCAGGTTGGTCTCAAAACTACTGGGCTCAAGCAACCCTCCTGCCTCGGCTTCCCAAAGTGCTGGGATTACAGGAAAAATGTTTTATATTCTTTAAGATTTCCTGGGATATTTAGGCAATTATATAGCATGTATATATAAAATACAATCTAGATAATGTATAATATAATAATTTTGAATACTATATATTACATTTCTTCATCCATACTTTATAACTTCTTGTGGGTCCATGCTACATATGTTTTTGAATTTGCATTCACAGTCATAACCTGGCTTATCATTTTTAGGCAGACTGTTATTGTTCTTAAAGTTCTGCTGTTAGAATCATTGAAAAGTTAGGCAGACTGTTATTGTTCTTAAAGTTCTGCTGTTAGAGTCATTGAAAAGTTCTACCATTGTAGTCTCTACGAGTAGTTTTCAAACTTTTTTCACTAAGACACACAGTAAGAAATACATTTTAGCCGTGCGCAGTGGCTCCCACCTGTAATTCCACCACTTTGGGAGGCCGAGACGGGAGAATCGCTTGAACCCAGGAGTTCAAGACCAGCCTGGGCAACAGAGTGAGACTTCATTCTACAAAAAATAAAAACAGTTAGCTGGGCATGGTGGTGTATGTCTGTTGTTCCAGCTGCTCAGGAAGCTGAGGTGGGAGGATCGTTTAAGCCCAGGAGGTTGAGGTTGTAGTGAGCTGGGATCATGCCACTGTATTCTATCTAGCCTGGGTGACAGAATGAGGCCTTCTTCTCAAATAAAAAGAAAAAGAAATACATTTTATCTCCCAATCTGTATTACACATAAATATACCATTTATACATATATAATTGAGTTTTACATATAAAATTAAATCTCAAGCTTCACGAAACAGTGCCCTTCTCTTCTAATGTGCAACGCATTCTGAACTATTTTATTCTGTTCCTTAATTTAAAAAAACTGCTGGTCACCACCCTATAAACTGATTTTGTGACTCATTCATGGGTCACAGCCTACAGTTGGAAAGCAATCAGCCTCTGCTCCACTTTCTTTGGTAAGAAATGCCTGTCTTTGGCAAGGCCACTGGAGACCAGGGTTGGCAGGGCGATGAAAGTTGATGGTTGATGGGCTCCACCGCTTCTCGCGGGCTGACGCCGCCTCCCTCCCCTGTCATTCGGGCAGATGGAGAAGTGCCCGGCAGTGCTGTGCTGGTGTTCGACATTGAGCTGCTGGAGCTGGTGGCTGGCCTGCCCGAGGGGTACATGTTTATATGGAACGACGAGGTGTCACCCAACCTCTTTGAAGAAATCGACAAGGATGGCAATGGAGAGGTCTTCCTTGAAGAGGTAACTGGTCTTTGCAGATAAGTGGGACGGAAGGAGCTTGGGGGCCTGCTGGGGTCAGGGGGCTGGTTCTGAAGGGAGGTCTGCTCAGAGTGAGGACAGCCATGCCGGATTTCTTGTGTTGATGGTGACCACCCCACTTGTGTGCCAAACACTTTTTTTTTTTTTTTTGAGTTGGAGTCTCACTCTGTCACCCAGACTGGAGTGCAGTAGCCGCTCCCGGCCACCACAGCCTCGACCTGCTGGGCTCTGGCAATCCTTCCGCCTCAGCCTCCCAAGTAACTGGAACTACAGGTGCACTCTCCCACGCCCGGCTGATTTTTTTATTTATTGTAGAGATGAGGTCTCGCCAAGTTGCCCGGGCGGGTCTCGAACCCACGGGCTCAGGCAATCCACTCAACTCGGCCTCCCAAAGCGTGGGATTGCAGGCTGAGCCACCGAGCCCGGCGCCAAATACTTTGACACTCCCTCTAAATGTAAGCTCACCATTCCTCTCTGAGGAAACTGACCCTCTGAGCATACAGGGCTTGGTTCTGGGTACACAGATGTGGAGGTAGCTCCCAGTACCCACTGCATGCGTGCATGGTGCTGTTTTCACATGTATTCTTTGAGTCCGTCCTCCCAACAGCCTTGCCATCATCCCTGTTTTTCAGAAGAAGAAAGTGTGTACAAAGAAGGTACCTGACTTGCCCAAGGCCACAAAGCCACCCAGTGGTTTGAGCCTGGACCACGTGCTTCTTCGTGGAACTGGGCAATAAGATTGTCTGTCCTGTGTTGTCCTGGCCCTGGGGAGTTCCAGCTCCCCACCTGATTACACCTGCTTATTCAAGCACATTGCTCCAGTCATCTCCCCTCTCTCCTAGTCATCTGCATGTCCCCAACTTCTGACTCATTCCTGGTGGCATACAAACATGCTATTATTTTCCTCCCCCCCTTTTTTTGTTTTGAGTTGGGGGTCTCACTGTGTCATCCAGGCTAGAGTGCAGTGGCATCCTCACGACGCTCATGATGCTCACGACTCACGGCAGCCTTGACCTCCTGGGCTCAGGCCATCCTTCCACCTCAGCATCCCGGGTACCTGGGACTATAAGCGCCTGCCACTACACTCAGCTGATTTTATTTTTTATTTTCTATAGAGACAAGGTTTCGCTCTGTTGCCCAGGCTGGTCTCGAACTCCTGGGCTCAAGCAGTCTGCCTGCCTTGGCTTCCCACAGTGCTGGGATTGTAGGCCTGAACCACCACGCCTAGCTATTTTCCCTACTCTTGATGTGTCTTTTTCATTTCTTTCCTTCCTTTAAGCAAAAACTTCAAAGGAATTGTATATCCTCCCTGTTCCTCTGCTCCCATTCTCTCTTAAACCCACTCCTCTCCTACTTTTCTCTCTCCACACCTCTAAACCTGATCTTGCCACAGTGACCAGTGCCCTTCACAGGACCGAATCCAGGGGTCATTTGTCCTGCTTCTCTTACTTCAACACAGCTGACTCCTCTGAGGACGCTTCTTTCCCTGGCTCCCAGGACACCACATTTTCTTGGGATTCCTTCCGGTAGCTCCTTCTTGGTCCTCCTCTCCCCATCTCTTCGCATAGGAGTGCTCTGGGCGAAGTCCTGACTCAGTCCTCCCTCTCTCCCTCAGTGCTCTCATCCAGTCCGTATCCTGATGACTTCCGGATTCGTAGCTCCCGTCCAGTCTTCTCTCTCCACTTCCTTCTGCCTGGTGTCTTCACTGATGGAGCCCCTGATGGCCCCTCCCCCACCCCATCCCACCATCCCCCCATCCACTGCTGTTGATGGCAACACTGTCCTCCAGTTGCTCAGGCAAATGCACTCAGTGACCTTTGACTCCTCGCTTTGTCCTGAAGGCTGTAATCACTCCTTCAGGACATTCTCCCAGCTCTACCTCGAGAGCGTGTGCAGAGCCTGGCGCTTTCACCACCTCCACTCCATAGCCTCACAGCCCAGGGCCTCTCGTCTCCTTTCCAGTTTGCGCCATGGCAGCAGCATCCATGAAGCCCCTCCTGCCCTCACCCACACCCCTACCGCTGCCACACAGAAGCCAGGTCAGCCCTGAAGAGGCCCCGGGGCCTTATGGTGGCCTGGAAAGGGCCTCCAGAGACCCTACACCTCCTGCTTGCTGTAACCTCCTCCCTAGCGACTCTCCCTCTGCCCAGTGTGCCCGGCCACACTTTCCCCTTGCTGTTCTGTGACCAGAGAGGCGTGTGTCCCTCGGCCCTCGCACTGTCTGCCCTCTGCTCAGGGGACGCTTGTCCTGGGTCACTGTTTGCCTCTTTCCCTGGCGTCCTTCAAGCCTTTGCACAAGCCTCCCTTTCTCAGTGAGGTTTTATCCGGACCACCGGATTTAATACTTGAACCTGTTCTCTGATATTGAGTTCTGTATTTTCCTCTTTTCTGAACGTCTCATTTTGTAACTTAATATGTGATTGACTCATTATGATGTTCGTGTCTAATTGTCTTTCCCACTAGAACATGAGCATTACAAAGGCAGGGCTTTATCTGTTTTTCATACACTGATGCCTTTCAAGGACCTGGAACGGTGCTCAGCACATAGTACTCAGTGAGCTTTTGCTGTATGCATGAATGCATGCATGCAGCAATGTTCTTAGAGGCTGGAGTGCTTGTGGGGTCAGCATTTGGAGGACTCTGAGTGGGGAGAAGGCATAGCTCTGATGGCTTCCGTGTATTAGCTCCCTGGATCCTAAGGGCTCTTGGAGTCGTTTAGTCCAGAGATTTTTCACCTGTGTCTGTAGTTACAAACCCAGGTCGTAGATCACATGGCTCCCACAGAGAGCCTGTCGATTTTGGTAGCTCGGATTCAGATTGCAGCCCCGTCACTCTCGGATGCTGTTTCCGGTCCCGGGTCTGGCATTCTCAGCTGCTGCGTGTCTCAGTCTGTCCCGTTCGTTCTCTTTCCAGTTCTCCGAGTACATCCACGCCCAAGTGGCATCTGGCAAAGGGAAGCTCGCTCCTGGTTTTGATGCTGAAATGATCGTGAAGAATATGTTCACCAACCAGGACCGGAATGGAGACGGGAAGGTCACGGCCGAAGAATTTAAGCTCAAAGACCAGGAAGCCAAACATGATGAACTCTAAACTAGGCACAAGCCAGCTGGTGCCAGGGAGTGTGTGCCACCAAGCTGCCTGTCGGGGCAGAACGTGCAGTGAGGGTGCAAGGGTTTCTCAGAAGGTGCATCATTAGTGAGTAGCGGATGGGTCACATACTACCTGGTGTATACAGCAGGGTGGGTTGATACACATGGTGAATTTAGGCAAATTGCCAGTGGTAGTAGACAAAATCTGTGCAGAGTGCCTTAGCGTGGGACGTGTCCAGTACTGAAAAGGCTGCACTGCCAGCCATTATTTGTGAGCCTTTTGGAACATTTTATTATTAATGGAATGTAGTATCACACAGAAATGATAATCATCTTGGAGGGAACAGAAGAAAAAGTGTCCAGGGTGTCTACATAAAGAGGGTTAATTTTGTTTTAAACTTGATGGTGTTTTAAAAAAGATCTCAAGCTGGGCAGGAGAAGCAAAGGGCACGCCCCCCCAAGATTCCCAAAAGGCAGCCCGTGGCTTTTCTCAGCGGCCTATACAAGCTCTGGTGATGGCCCCTGCCTCTCCCAGCACACACACGCATGCACACACATTGTGCTTTTTGAGTTCCTCACACCCTGTCCCGCTGTGCTCCTCCCCTGGGCAGTGTGTAACCCAGAGGTTAAGAGAGCCTCCCGGACAGAAAAAACAGGGAACTACATGAAAGACCTTTGGACCATGGACGGAGATTCTGCCATACAAGGTCGTCTGTTTAGCTCTTTCTTATTCCTAGTTCAGTATCTTGTAGAGTACTCTCTTTTTTTTTCACCCTGAGCCATGTGATAGATGGGACAGGTAACTAAGCAGTCACCTCGCTGGTCAGTCAGCAGAGTATTTCCCTTGGCCGAGACAGAAGTGTTCTTCCAATCGATGAGCTGCTGAGCATAAACAAAGTGATGTTTTTCTGCCGCTTATCTGTGTCCCGGAGAGAGTGGTGCCCTGAGCGCTGGGCCCAGCTGCAGGATGGCAACGACCTGCCCTCCTGTTCATGCATCATGCATTGAGCACGTGGCTACCTTTTGTCCTCTGTTCCCAAGTGGTGTTGGCGTTTACCCTCAAGTCATTGATGATTTCCCTTTGGAAACTGCTTTCTTTTACTAATTTAAACTATTTTGTATGGAGGTAGCCCTGAGATAGTTCATGAAAATGCTGTGCACTCATTCAATGGAATAAATGTTGGAAAGCTGATCTTTTCTGATATAAAATGTTGAATTATATTATCTGGTTTTGTGGCATTTTATTTGAAGGCGAAGAGGATCCCGTGGGAATGAACCACGCAGTCATAATCCCCTTGATTAAAAACAGCAAGACTTCGTTGGATTTATTAAAAGGAGAGCATCGTAGGCATGTGGGGGTATCAGTCAGAAGCTAATGTTTTGTTTTTTTGAGTTGGAGTCTCTGTCGCCCAGGCTGGAGTGCAGTGGTACAATCACAGCTTACTGCAGCCTCAACTTCCTGGGCTCAGGCAGTCCTTCCACCTCAGCCTCCTGAGTACCTGAGGCTACAGTTGTGCACCACCATGCCCAGCTAATTTAAAAAATTTTTTTTATAGAGATGAGATTTTTTTTTTTTTGAGTTGGAGTCTCACTCAGTTGCCCAGACTGGAGTGTAGTGGCTGCT